CTACTCCACAGAGCATAGTTCTCTGAACCTGTTAACTGAAGTGAGATTAGAGAACTACCTGGAGTGTCTGTGTGTTGAAGAAATAGTGGATGATTGTGATCAATCACTGGAAATGTGACTGGGCTCGTAACTCCATTTCCAAATCCAGTACTAGTACCTTCAGTTGTAGTTCCATTCGTCATTTGAGCTAGCTTGACTTTTGATGCTTCCTTTCAATTCACCTTTAACATATGGTGAATCTGAGCACCTGATAGTTGCTGCTATGAACTCAGAATCCAGATCGATAGCTTTGATACCATGAAAACTCCATGAATGAAGGTTGATTCTTAGATCAATTTACAGAGAGAATAGAAGAGAAAGAGAAATTGTATTGAATATTATGTACTCTGTTACATTGAATCTGTACCACTATGCCTTTTATACTTGTACACTAGTTTACAGATACAAAAATATCTAAAACTGTTTTGTAACTAACTATTGCCAGCTCAGCATTCTGTTTAGCTGACTGCACTTATGGTTTTAGCTAACTCAACCATTCAGCTTGTTAACTCTATGCACTAGTTAACACGAATCAATTTTATACTATGGGAAATTAAGGGGTCGTTTTCTTTATTTTTGAAATTTCTTGTTCAATAAACTTCATGTTTGATGATCTTTCAAATCTTGATCTAGTGGATTTAGTGTGTGTGCTATGTGAAGCTGACTAACATCTTCATATTCTTATCAAAGAAAGTTGTACTCACTCTTGTCTCAAATCACCTATCATGTTTTTCTTTTACACGTCTCTTAAGAAAACATTAATTATCATGAACCACAACTACTATTGTGTCAATTTTCACAGTCAATCGTCAGTGTGCATCACCAGCTACAATCATTACCATAACATTACCATTGTAATGACTAATCCGCTCACTATCGATAATGGGTCACTATCGACACCATCATTCACTACTATATATCGTCAACTAATTTATCATACATACATTCACTATTAATTAGTTGTAATGACCAATCGGCTCACTATCGATAATCACCACCATCATTCACTACTATATATCGTCAACTAATTTATCATACATACATTCACTATTAGTTACAATCTTATTATCCACAATAATTATCAATCACACAACCATCAATGTCCATCATCATTAATAATTATTGTCAGCCAACCACCAACAACCATATAACTTCTAAAAAGCTTTGTTATTATATACTCCTATTAGATAAGAGATAAATAAAAAATATATAGGAATCGAAATATTTCGTGAGTTTTCAAACCTGACGTGAATCAAATTCGCAACCTTCTGGTCTGGAGTCAGACGCGCTACCATTGCGCCACGGATCCCTGATGTTGTAAATGCATAACTAATAAGATATATCCAATATTTTATATAGTGGTCATCTCGTTTTTCTTTTTTAATTTATATAGGCTACTCATTGTTGATAAAATAATTTGAGTTGTTTATTGTAAATTGCAAAAAAATATGGAGCTTTTACCTTCCTTGTCTAATGTTGAATTACCGGCATATTCTAAATAAGAAGATCTATTTAAATTGAAAAGAAAATAACTTTGATAATAATTACATGACCGTCCTTCATAGTCAATCTAAGTATTTTCAAATAGTATTAATTTATATAACTCATGTACAACAAGTAGAAATATTATTACAAGACAAATGTTACCGTTACTCTTTGCTGCATATATATTCGAGGAAACCGAAAATAAGTGTATGAAGTTGTTCCCTTAATACTTAATAATATGATTGAATAGGATGGCAAAAAATAGTGGATCAAAAATGTAATATTTCAAGTGGAATCAAGAAGAATGGTGTGTTTGTTGTCCTTGTTAAAATATAAAAGTTACGTTGTTTATGATAGATCCACGATCAATTTTAAGTGTAGTAGTACTATATACTGCACAAATCTTGAGGTAGAAGCTAGGTTCCAATTCTAAATTAGTTGCATTGGTACATACATGTACATAAGGTTTACTACTACTTTTGTATAATTTAGAAATTCATCGGGGTTGTTGTATATATATCCTTATAACGTAATGGTATTAAAAATAATTATTAGAAAATTATAAACAAATATCTTGATAAACATTAAAAAATGGGAGTAATACATACAAAGGGTTGCTTAATTGGATGTTAAGCACATGCGAGAGCTCCTAAGAAGTAAAAAAGTTAATACTAGATAACTTAGATCCACTTTGTCATGCATTCAAATATAAATAACGTCAATAAAGTAGGAATGGAAATGGTTTATTATGATCAATTACAAACTAAATTGAAAAAATTGAAAAAAAAAAATCAGATCAATTACGTGTAAAATTTCTTATCGGTAAAACTAAAAATAAATTTGTAAAGCGCTTTGAAATTGAATCTAACAAAGAGACAAATGAAATAGTAGCAAATTGAGCTTCCTTAGTTTGACTTTGACCTAGTCGCGTCCTTGATATATACAAGTGTGGGATCCTATTTATAAAATGGACTCTAACACCAAATAATACTCCATTAATTAATTAAATATTTAGTTAACTTCTGGAAAGATACATCCTCATGCCATTAAAAAAACTTATGATATATTGATGATATTATATCAAAATTGTCGGTCATAAACATGTTATACAGAAATTTAAAATTAAAAAACTAAAAAAAGATGTTTTCTTTGTAAGCAAAGTAAAAATGAAATTAAGACGATCAAATTGAATTAAAACAAAGTAGGTATAAGTATAAATAGATGTCTATCATGTCCAATATTTTCACACTAATTTCCCAATGTATTCCTCTAGCTACTATCCCTTTTTATTTTTGTTTTCACACTAATTTCCCAATGTATTCCTTCTATTTACAATGTTGTGAGTAAAGCTTATATTAGTGAAATCCCAAAAGATGTGAAGACCGTACCCGCAATGCAACCTTTTAAAACTTGTTTCGACTCGACTTATGTTGGTATGTCACGCCTTGAATATAATGCACCTAAAATTGATTTGGTTCTCCATAAGCCAAATGTGCGTTGGACTATTATTGGAGCGAATTCGTTAGTAAAAGTTAGCGATCGAGCGCGTAGTATGTTTAGCGTTTGCTGAACGAAATCAGACGTTTGGACAGGCGATTGTTATTGGTGGGTTTTAGATGCATGACAATCTTGTGGAATTTGATCTTGCTAGAAGAAGAATTGGGTTTAGTAACTTGCTATATTTCCATCAGACTACGTGTTCAAATCAATTCTATACTATGGGAAATTAAGGGGTTATTTTTTTAAAAAAAAATGATTTGTTTTTTGGTTCAATAAGCTTCATGTTTGATGATCTTTTAAATCATGATATAGTGGATTATCTTTTATATAATAATATAATCTTGTGTGTGCGCCATGTGAAGCTGATTAACATCTTCATATTCTTATTAATAAAGTTGTATTGTCTCAAAATTACTTAGTTTCTTTCTCTTTTACACGTGTCTCTTAACAAAATATTAGTTGCAACCACAACCAATTCTTAAGTAGCCACAACCCCTATTGTGTTAATGGTCACGGTCAACAATCACCACCATCATTCACTATTATATATCGTCAACTAATTTATCATACCACCATCATTCAACATCATTTTCATCGGCATCCATAGATTGTAAACCACCAACAACAACCATATAACTTTTTAAAAGTTTTGTTATAATTTGTACTCCTACAACTAAGTAGATCAATTTAATAATTTATTTAAATCGTATATTTAATAATTTTTAAATAAAGACAAATTTTACATATTTAGATGCTAGAAAACAAAACTTAATCTCAACAAAAATAAATGATGTCTAATATAGGATATTAAATATAAACAAAAATATGAGAAAAAAAAGTATAGGGACCGAAATGTTTCGGGGGTTTTGAACCCGACGTGAATCGAACACGCAACCTTCTGATCTGGAGTCAGACGCGCTACCATTGCGCCACGGATCCCTGTTGTATTTAAAACATAATTAATAATCTATATAGTGGTTGTCTCGTTTTTCTTTTTTATAATCAATATAGGATACTCATTGTTGATAAAATAATTTGAATTGTTTATTGTAAATTGCAATTTGTTTTGGAGATTTTATCTTCTTTATCTAATGTTGAATTACCGACCTATTCTAAATGGGAAGAGCATTTTGAATTCAAAAGAAAATAACTTTGATAATAATTACATAGTTTTTATATCATAAGAAGACCATCCTTCAATATTTTGGTCATAATTAATCTTAGTTAGAACTTAGAAGGTTTGGCAAAATTTTCAACTAGTATTGAGGTTAGGAATATATACGTCCTCAATGTTAGTCTAAGATATGAATTAATATATATAGAGAGAGAGAAACAATATCAAAAAGGCGAAAAACTAAGACATGATTGCCAGCATTATTTATGTACCACAAATTACAATTACAGTTGCAATTAATGACAAAAATGAAGCAAATATTTGGGTCTCTTTAAGTAGATTTAAGCCTATATTGTGACATAATCTATACTGATCGATTACTATATCTTTTAACTTGTCCCTTTCAGAATACAACAATCCAACAGCGTGGTACAACTCAAATAACTTCGAATTAGTTGAAAAGTACAAAGTTCCACCATTAAAACACATTCCTTCAACATATAAATTACTCTCTAGTTTTGTATAATAAATTAGTTGAAGAAAGTTTTTTCTCGACCTTTACTCTCTTTATAACTATACTAACCTCAATACAAACGCAATATAATACTTCGTTCTCATCTTTCTTCACTTTATATATTTTCTTGTACATGAAAGAAAGTAAGACCATCACTATTAAAATGTTACGAGAACCAACAAAGTATTTTAATTGAATTACCGAAAATCATGAATACATGAAGCTTATTGAACAGGAAATTGAAAACCGATTTAAGGCCTTATCATCTTCATATTTTTTGAAGATTCCCGCCTTAAATCAGATTTGAAAGATCATCAAACACGAAATTTAAGAAAATAAAACGACCTCTTAAGAAGTATAGAATTGATCTGAACACATAGTCTGACGGAAAAAAAGAGAGTTAGTAAACCCAATTCTTCTTCTAGCTAGATCAAATTCCACAAGATTGTTCTGCATTTGATAACTACCGATAACAATCGCTTGTCCCGTTTCTTTTTTCCCTTCAACAAATGCTAGACAAAACACCCCCTGCTTTACTAATAACAATGAATTCGCTCCAGTAATTGTCCAAAACACATTTGGATTATGGAGAACAAAATAAATTCCAGGTGCATTGTAGCCCAGGCGTGATATACCAATAAACGAAGAGTTAAAACAAGTTTTAAAAGGTGCCACTGGAGATACAGTTTTCACATTTTCCGGCATTTCACTAATAAAAGCTTTACTTACCATATCGTAAATAGAAGGCTCCAATTCAGTATAAGGAACGGCCGTACTGATTCTCGTCCCGCCTAACGAGAGTAACGTGTTGTTCAATGGCAACGTTTTCGCGTTAACTCTAATGGAAGAAACTTGAATGTAATACTCTGGTGAGGCGCGAATTATAGGTGTATAGAAAAGATCTTGCGAAGCATCAAAGCCAAATGCAAAGAGATAGGGCCTATGCCCAATAAAAATGATTCCGTTTTCTTGAGGTGATGAACTCAAGCAAATAGCAAATTGTCTGCTGAATTTAAAAGCTAATGCAAGTTGAGTAACAAATGATACTGAACTTTGCTGTCCAAATCCAATCATTCCTTTAACATCTGCACCTAATTTTTGGGTTAAAAAAGATGGAGAACAGCTGAAGATAAACTTCGGGATAGTTACAACGGGCCCGCGGGATTCAGGGCCCATATTGGATCCGTTAATGGATTGGATCGTCAAAACATCCTCTGCGATTTCAGCACCAGAGTAGAAAGTATTATTAAGAGCCGGGTTGGACACAGTGTTATAACAGGCATTGTTGTTGCAACCGGGCCGGGCTTTATTTTTGGTTTTACAATCTCCGCAAGATGTTGATCTTGCGAGATTGCATTGCCTTGAATTGCAACGAGCGGGCTTGTACGTTGAGCTTTTGAAGCCCGTTTCGCAATCCACCCATAGGTTTTCGCCACCAACATGGACCGCGAGTTTAACGGGGACTAGAGGTGTTCGTTGCTGAATTTGGGTGATGTATTGTAGAGTAGAAGGATCTTGTTTCACTGCAAGGAAGAATGTTTTAGGATGGAAATTGGTTTGAGCTAGACAAGTTGATGATATGATGAAAAGAAAACAAAAATGGAAGAGATAGTAGCTAGAGGAATACATTGGGAATTTGAATGATTTTAGTGTGTAAATATTGGACATGATAGACATCTATTTATACTTATACCTACTTCGTTTCAGTTCAATTTGGTCGTGTTAGTTTCATTTTTACTTTGCTTAAAAAAGAAAATATCTTTTTTTCGCATGATATGTTTACGACCATAAAATTCATGATATCTTCGTGAGCCTTTCTTTTGTCTTCCTAAAATGTGTTTGCTTTCAATATCATCAATTTATCATAAGTAAATTCTTTAATTGTAGCATAACTGCATAAGGATATTTTCCAGATCTGAAGATGAATTTAAAATGGGTTAAAAAAATTCCACACGATTAATCGTAATTATTTGTAGTCATCATTCTTGTTAACTCAATATATAATTAATATTTTTTTAGTGTTAGCATCCATTTTATAAATAGGGTCCCACAGTTCATATTTATCAAGGACTAGGTCAAAGTCAAACTAAGGAAGCTCAATTTGCTATATACTATATTTCGCTAGCATTTGGCGATAGATTTCCAAATATTTTTGGCAAATATTATTTAGATGAAAATTTGGGTGAAATTCTATCATGTGTTTGGCCATTATATTTGAGAAACATATTTTCCTTTTTAAAAAAAATATAATAATTTATATTCATAAGTTTTAAAAACTATGAAAACTAACCATAGGTTTGTATTACATAGCAAGATAGAAACATCAACGTAACAAGATTCGTGACTTCTGCAACAAGTCAAGTAGATCTTCGTTGCCACAAATAACAAGTAGTGTCCATGACATTGAAGCAATGTAGTAGTTCGGAGTGAGTGCAAGAAACATCATTCCATACATCGTGAAGTAGATGAAACACATGATTTCATTACCCTGAGTTGATTGTTCGTCATTTTCATCAATAACCATATCATCACTTTCATATTCACTAAATATTTCATCACTGTTTTGGTGTTCATATAAAAAAATTTATATAATACAGCGCAACAACTACTATAGAAGATGTTTTTGTAAAAAATAAAAATTTGATGTAGAATTTGAATTTTTAAAAGCTCCCAAATAATGAGATTTGACCCAAATACTAATTTTTTCTAGTATTTGAGAATTTGAGTTATTTGCCAAATAATGGCAAATTGTATGGACAAACACTGTTTACCAAATTTCCCCCCAAATTTTACTTGGGAAATCTATGACCAAACGGGTTCATTTGTCTCTTTCGGAGAGACTTGATTTTGTAGTCTTTTACAAACTAGTATTTTAGTTTTACGTTCTTTGGTAAGAAATCTGGAAAAATAATAATAACTTCTAATTTGTAAGTGGTCATGATAAAACATTTTCATTCCTATTTTACTAATGTTATTTATATTTAAACGCAAAACAAAGTGGATCTAAGTTATATATTAACTTTTTCTAAATTATACTAAAGTAGTAGTAAACCTTGTGTACATGTAGGTACCAATGCAACTAATTTAGAATTGAAACCTAGTTTCTACCTTAAAATTTGTGCACTATATAGTACTATAGTATGTTTTTTTTTTAAATTGTGGATTTATCATAAACGATACACTTTTATATTTTCATAGACAACAAACGCACCATCATTTCAGACTCCACTTAAAATTTTACATTTTGATCCACTATTTTTTTGCCATCATATTCAATCGTATTATTAAGTATTAAGGGAACAACTTCATACACTTCTCTCAGTTTCCCTCGAATATATATGCAGCAAAGAGTAACAGTAACATTTGTCGTGTTATAATATTTCTATTTGTTGCACATAAATTATACTATCTTCGTTTACTTTTAATTGTCATAGTTTCCCTTTTTAGAGTCAAACAATAATAACTTTGACTAACATTTTACGATATATTTATTCATCATATTGATATGCAGAAAATTGGATTATATAGTACTCTTCGTATAGTTTTTGAATATCTAAATTTTTTGTTTAAAATATCAAAATAATGTAATCTAATTTAACTTTGGTGTTCGATATTTGTCTTGAGGCTCGATTAAAGCAGAATTCGTGCGTTGCAGAATTTTCAAATTTCATTCTCAAGAACTCGAACACGAGACCTTAATTAAAAATGAAGAAATCTCAATCATACCACTATAACTTATATCGATAGTTTAAGTTACTTGATGTCACTCAGATATAAACAATTTTATAGAGGTAATAAATATATTGATAACCTAAAAAAGAAGGTAGCTTGGTAACCATTTGGAACTGGTCAAATTATATGGACACAATTGCAATTTGCAACTTTCTTTCTTGGGCAACAAATTAAATCTTAATTAGAAGTATTAACGGGAAAGAAATTAAAGGGGACCTACTCAAATATCTATCCACATGCGTCGCTTAACTATCGTTATGTCTTTGCACTTGGCTTTGATGCCTCGTGATATTTTATCTATACACCTATCGGACCCATTCAAAAAAATTTTAATCATCAATCGTGCCTCGCTAGATTATTATATTCAAGTTGCGTCCATTACAGTTAACGAAAAATCATTGGCATTGAACAAAACATTGCTCTCGTTAGATGAAAATGAAGAAGCCGGGACTTACATTGTATTAGATTGGAGCCTTCTATTTACAGAGTTGTAAAGTTTTTATTAGTGAAATGCCGAAAGATGTGAAAACTGTAACCGCGATGCAGCCTTCTAAAACTTGTTTTAACTCCACATATGTTGATATATCACGCTTGGGCTACAATGCACCTACAATCACCACTATCAACCAACAATATTTTCAAACGACATCCAAAACAATCAACCACCATCACGGCCGCCACCAACCATATAACTTTTTAAATGTTTTCTTACAATATACTCCTAATACTTATTAGATTAATTCAATATTTCATTTAAATTTTATATTGTTTATTTTTTAAATAAAGATAATTTTTTACATATTTAGATGTTGAGACAACAAATCATAATTAAAATAAATGTGCAAGGTCTAATATAAGATTATTTAAGATACAAATCTTTTACAAGAAAACACAGTTATTTTATATAAACAAAAATGAGAGTAGGCACATAATTCTAGCAGAAAAGTGGAAAAAACAAAAAAAAATATAGGGACCGAAATGTTTCGGGGGTTTTGAACCCGACGTGAATCGAACACGCAACCTTCTGATCTGGAGTCAGACGCGCTACCATTGCGCCACGGATCCCTGTTGTATTTAGAACATATTTTTTATTTTATATCTCAATATTAATTTTATTCAATATATGATAATTATTATTGATAAAATAATTTCAACTGTTAATTGTAAATTGCAAGAATGGAGATTTTACCTTCTTTATCCAATATTGAACTGACTACCTATTCTAAGTAAGAAAACTTTTTGAATTTGAAAAAAAATAACTTTGTTGGTAATTGCATATTATTTATTTTATCAGAAGATTGTCCTTCAATATTTGGTCATAGTTAATATTGGATAAAACATATACATACTTAGTATCAGTTTAAGATGTGTATTTAGATAAATATATTTTAGAATAGTTGTTCAATGTATTACTCCTATATAGTATGAGCCAAGACTTTGTGCGCTATAATTTATATAATTTATGTGCAACAAATATAAATTATATTATAGAGTATTATCCTAAGCATTTATGACTCTTGAAGTAAGTCGAAGTACTTTTTGTCCATCAAACGGAACTTCCTAAGGTTCTATCCATTTTTAGGTGTCTGGTTGTCACATTTGAAAGAATCGAATTAATCCTTATTTAACTTAATTAATTAATGTAGAAAACTGTTTAAGTTACTTTTATTAAAAAAATTCATCTGGCTCAGCTCATATCTGACTCAACTAAATTTCGAGTCGTGCATTGCAAGATTTTTAATTTCCATTCTTAGGAACTCAAACACGAGACCTTTGGTTAAATTAAGAGTGGAGAGATTTCAATTATCCCACCACAACTCATGTCAGTAGTTTTAAGTTACTTGAATGTCAACTAGACATAAATATTCTTATGAAAGTACTAAATCTATTGATTATTGGTAACCTAAAAAAGAAGATAACTAGGTAACCATTTGGAACTGGTCAAATTATATGGACACAAGGAAGAAAGATCTGCAATTTGCAACTTACTTTGTTGGGCAGCAAATTAAAGCTTAATTAGAAGTACAGTAATAATAATTAACAGAAAATGAATAAATTAAAGGGGAGTTAGTCAAATATCCACATGGGTCGCATAACTGGCGTTATAATCTAAGTACACTAAAAAAGTTGTTGAGAGTGAAAGCAATATGTTGGTTTAGTTTAAGTCTTATATACCATCGATAAATAATGTTTAACTCATTCAAATGATATTTACCGGTAAACCTTCTTCAAATCGTGGAATTTAAAATCTTAAAAATAGGATATATATGTTACATGTCCATTTTAGGCTAAAAAGCCACGCTTGTTTAACCGATTAATTAGCTAGCAATATTTCATAAATAAATTGCATATTTTAGCCTAGAGGTAACAAAATTAGCCCATGAAAACTTGTTCATGTTTGTGCGATCTGATTATCGATTTGCTCATTTAATAGCTTAAACCATTTCATTTCAGTTCAATTCATTTCAACTTGTCAAAGCTTGAGCTTATATATAGCTCAAATCCATTAATGAGATATCATGTCAAAATATTTTTTAAAAAACATTTTTTATATGATATATTATAAAAAGTAAGAGTTGGGTCAGAGGGTCAATAACTCGCCCATTTATTAACTCAACTCATTTTGACATGCAGGCTAACCTATTTATTTGGCACTTCTAACTTTAGCCTATAAATACATGCCTAAGATATGTCCAAATATTTTGTTTACAATCCTTTGCTTACATTCTTTCTCCTTATACTACAAAATCATGAAATTATCTCCTATGTCACCCTCCAAGTACTATCTTTTTCACTTTTGTTTTCTTCTCATCACATCCACTACTTTATCAAAATCCAATTTCCACCCCAAAACTTTATTCCTATTAGTCAAGAAAGATCCATCTAGCCTACAATACATTACTCAAATTCACCAAAGAACACCTCTTGTCCCTCTTAAATTAGCCCTCAATCTTGGTGGTGAAAACCTATGGGTTGATTGTGAAAATGACCACAAAAGCTCAACGTACAAGCCCGCACGTTGCGAATCAGCGCAATGTGAACTTGCCTGGTCAACATCATGTGGAAATTGTTATGTAAGTAACACATTACTACCAATTTGCAACTCATGCTATAACGTTGTTTCAAATCCTGTTACCTCCACTGGAGGTGAAATTGCAGAGGATGTTTTGACAATCCAATCAATTAACGGGTCAATTCCAGGACCCGTTGCAATCGTCCCAAATTTCATCTTTAGTTGTCCTACTACATCCAATTTAACACAAAATTTAGGCAAAAATGTTAAAGGAATGGTTGGTTTTGGGCAGCAAAGTCCAGTATCATTTGCTACTCAATTTGCATCAATTTTCAAATTCAGTAGACAATTTGCCATTTGTTTGAGCTCATCAACTAAACGAAGCGGTGTAATTTTCATCGGACATAGCCCTTATTTCATTAGCCTCGCATTTGATGCATCGCGAGATCTAATCTACACACCTATAATCACCCAACAACGTTTCGTTGCCATTACCTACCCACATTATGTACGCATCATTCGTCCCTCACCAGAGTATTACATTCAAGTTACTTCCGTTAGAATTAACGGAAAAACTTTACCATTAAACAAAACACTACTCTCATTAGACGAAAACGAAGAAGGCGGAACGAGAATCAGTACGGACGTTCCGTACACCGAATTAGAGCCTTCTATTTACGATATCATAAGTAAAGCTTTTATTACTGAAATGCCAAAAGAAGTCAAAAAGGTACCTGCAGTGCAACCTTTTAAGACTTGTTTCGACTCGACATATATTGGTGTGTCACGCCTAGGTTACAATGCACCTGAAATTAATCTCGTATTTCAGAAACGAAATGTTTATTGGACAATTATCGGAGCGAATTCGCTAGTAAAAGTTAAGGAAGGTGTTATATGTCTAGCATTTGTTGAACGAAAAAAAGCAACGGGACAAGCAATTGTTGTTGGTGGATATCAAATGCAAGACAATTTGATAGAATTTGATCTATCGAGGAGCAGAATTGGTTTTAGTAATTCACTTTTTTATCATCAAACTATGTGTGCAAATCATAATTATGCTTAGAGAAATTGTCATTTGTGATTCTAGTTGACTTAATTAATTGTTATTTTAATTATCTGTATATTTTATTTTATTGAATAATCTTCATATATAGTTGCAACTATCTTCAAAGATGTGAAGATGTTTCCTCAATATATAAGCTAAATGTTATGATAGTACTGTTAGTCATCGTCATTTTATTTTATTTCAAATAGCTAGTCGGATTTACTGTTTAAATTTCTAAACCAATATATATAAAATTATACACTTATTACATACATATATTATATATAAATTATATATTTATTATATTTAATAATTCAAACAATCCGATGAACCAGTGGTGGAGGCAGGAATTCTATCAAGGGGGTTCAAATAAAAAAAAATGTTGTTGCCTGGAATCGAGAACCCGTGACCCAAAGCTCACATAGGCGAAATCCTAAACCCCATAAACCATTGAGCTACTCCTTTGACATATGCTCAGGGGGTTCAATTTTAAATATATACACGTACACAAAAAAATTGATCTTATCTATATAGTGTAAATTTTTTTCCGAGGGGGGTCGGATGACCTCTTTGGACACACTCTACATCCGCCACTGCGATGAACGGCTATTTAAGTTAACTTGAGAAACGTTCAGCCAAAAAAAAAAAGTTAACTCGAGAAACAAAACTCTTTTTCTTTAATGGGCTGTAAAGATAAACGAGAATGTGGGCCGTGAGTGCACAAAATGGTTAAGTTTTAACATAAATAGGAAAATTACGCGATTAAGCAAACTTATACTACTTAATTACTCATCATAGCTATAGTTTGCTATAATTATCACTCGCGACTAACATTATACATTAATTACATGGGCTGACTTCGAGTTTGTATAATTAGTCACGTTTGTATATGTATAATTCGCCACATTTGTATAATTCGCAGCTAACAATTCTTTGGTTGATTTGTATTTGTATACGATTGTTTGTATTTGTATATGATGATGATTTCCTTTGGTTTTTCAGTTTTGTCATCATATACATTCAATCTTTTTGTGTATAACTTTTTAAAGTTTGTATAAACGTGTAGTTTTTGAATTTTGTATAATATAATTTATATAATGTAATTTGTAAAATATGTTTTGTATAATTATTTAAAGTTCATACATTTATGTTTGTATCAATTCATTATTTTGAGTTTTATTATATTTGTACAATTTCAAACTTTATATTACACGTCGTTTTTTGATGGTTTTTCCGCTTCTCACAGCTGCTCTTTCCACACCTCCGGATATCTGGTGCCAAATTGTCGCTATGCAAGCGTACCTGCAAATTATACAAATTATTTTCCTCTCTCGCTCGCCTCTCTCCTCCCTCTCCCAGTCTCACTCGCCTCTCTCCTCCCTTTCCCAATCTCTCTTGCCAGAATATACAAATACATATGTATAATATACAATTATCTAACCGATATACATATACAATTCACCTCTCTCCCACTCTCTGCCCTCTCTCGCTCACCTCTCTCCTCCCTCTCCCAGTTTCGCTCGCCACTCTCCTCCCTATAACATGTAGCTACGAATCGTAATTAGCAAACTATAGCTATGGAGTGTAATTAGACTATTTTTTAGTGGCTATATGCAAAAGTTCCTCCTATTAAATTTCATGTTTTTCTCGTTTCAAATGAGCTATTTTTTTTTATCAATTAAATTTACATCTAATGGGGCATAATTTTATCTTTTTAGAAATTTAAATCATATCTAAATATAACTTATGAAATGTTATGATGTAAAAATATAAAATTATGTTCCACGAAAATAAAAATAGTTTGTTATGAGAAACAAAAAGTAAAGACCAGCACAAAATAATATAGCCAAAAGTGCAACAGTGCAAATGACCCATTTAAAAGTGGTATTGCTTTGGCTTTTCACCTTTTACTCTTTTTGGTGTTTTTTTGTCATATATTTAGAAAAATTCTGTCCCTACAGTCATTCATCAAAAATGATATGTACCAAAAAAAAAACAGAAAATTATCCTAAAAAGATTGGTTCTTTTAACTTTCACGTGAAACTGTCTAGCTTAATACAAAAGACTTTCTTTATAAATTTATTGATTGTGATGAGATGATTGAGATTTCTTTATTTCAGTTAAAAGTTTTGATTTCGAGCCTTTGGGGAGGGAGAAAGCCCTATTGAGTGGCTGCTTTTAGAAATGAGTTATGCAGTGTATGAATTCGAATTTAATCAAACCTTAATCCAAATATCAAATAGCACCAGATAAAAAACATAATGTAAACCTTTATGTATTTTAGGGAGGGGTTGTTTTACGAATATGGTATATATTGATTGATTGAAGCCAACCAAAAAAAAGTATCTTAAAATTGTTGAAACATCAAATTAAGATGATAAGTGTTTAAGAGAAAGAGTTAATTATACTAAACATTTTTATTATATAATTTAATTTCAGATATTTTCTTTATATTTTAAAATCAAATACTTATATTCTTCCTATTATAGAGATTTTGTACTCACACCTCCTATGAGATATATTTATAACTAAATATATTAAATATAATTATTAAAATGTAAATTGAAATTATAAATAGAAAGTTTGTGGATTTATTTTTATCAAATTTAGTGACGAAGATAAAAATAAATTGTTGAATATCTTTGTTCACTCATTTGATTAAAACAAATGATTAAAAAAAAATTGAAATAGGTATCTTTCGAAACTTATAAATAAAGAAGAAGAAAATCAAGTTACTTTGATAGATATATATACCAACTATTAGTAAACTGTGTCCTACACTTTAAACATGTAAATTATTTGTATTTTTATTAATTATGTTTTATTATATAAGAATTTTTCATTTCTGTTCTAGTTTGTTTATTTGTTCTTTCACTTAAAAGTTATCTTAAAATTACATTAAAAAAAAACTTTTTATTTATAATTCTAATAATAATTATACTTTAATATATTTAGTTTCAGATATATCTTATAAAGAGTGTGATTGTAGGATTTTTATTATGGAGAGGATGTTTGATTTATGATGTTTAGTGTAATTAACCCTAAAACTAAAAACAAATATGTATGAATTTTTCACTCCGCACATCAGACCAAAAGTTCACAACAATAAATATCATTAATTTTTAGTATACTATGTAAATTAAAATATAATTTGTGTATAATCATTGTATATATATTTATTATACATATGTATTAATCGATTTAATTAGTGTGTGTACAATATTACTATATTAGGTGAGGTCTTAATTAAGAATGTTATTTTCTATCTCAATGAAGTCTAACGTGAGAAGGAGTAATTGGGAGATATTAGGAGATCAATCTCTTTCCTACAACATTTTATAAATTAATCCGCGTTAATATTAAAACTTGAAATTTCAAAATGATTTTCACCTTTTTCTTTTTAAAAGATTGTCAAATTTATAATATTTTTTAAAGTTTATAAATATTTATTTACTAAAGACAAACTTCATTTTAAAAGTTTTGAACAAATTATGCTTAAAAAAGAAGTGAACGGAGGTACTTTGATGTGAAAGCAATACAAGATTAAAATATTAATTGCTTAAACCTAAGCTCTAGAGATTAAAAATTAATCATCCAATTCTCTTTGCTAACTTAAAAACTTAAATTCTTATATGGTGAACCAAAGTTATCATCATTAGAGGTAATCACATGTTACTTCAAACTAATTAAGTTTCAACTAAAATAATAATTCAAATTATGACCATTTTCACTTAATAATTACTAGATGACAACAACACATTATCAATAAATATAATAATTAATGACCATATATATTTGACCATTACACTATAAATTACAATAATTTTGATGGGCATCACTCATTATCAATGGTAGCACAATTAGATGAACCAACTAAAAATAATTATTACACTCCACGCGTCAATTTTTTATTTGCTCTTTTGTTTTTTGATACATTATTGAAAAGTGACAATATAATGATTTAATGTACATTATATTGGTGGGAACCAATTTCCTTCCATTTTTGAAATATCTTAGTTGTGTGTCTATTCAATTAGACTTGTCACAAATAGTACACAACATTATTGATAGTTGTCTTCTTACAAAGGAGTAATGCATTCAATCATCAGAGGCGAATCTAGAATACAAAATTTATGATTTCGAATTTAATAATATGTTTGAGTTATAAATAGTGAATATTAAATTAATAATTTTTACATATTATATTATATTTTAAAAAAATATATATAATTTAAATTAAAACTGTTTAATTTTGTCAAATTTATATCGTCAATTCTACCTAAGCCCCCGAAAACCCTCCTCCCCCACCATTAAAACAAGTCATTTTCCTCCCTACCAAACACACCCTAAGAGATATTAACAATAACAACTAAATGTCGTGTAAGTCCCTTAAAGACTGACTACAGTAGATTGTAATAGTGATAATATGCAGTAATTTGATAAGTATAAATAGTGATAGTAATGTAAATAATTTATATTTAAATATAGTTGGATATATTGATAATTACATGTTTAGGTACAATTCACACATTTATATATTTTTCCCTATTTACTGTTTTTTTTTACTTCAACTATCATATTGCTTTATTGTAGTTATTTTTCTTTTTAAGAATACTTTGACATGCTTTTTTAATATTATTTTTTTTTCAAAAAAAAGTTTTTACTTAAGCGGATGGAGTCTATCTTAGAGTCTCTCTACCTCCCGAGGTAAGAAGAAAGTCTATGTACGATCTATTTTCTCAAGATCCAATTTATAAGATTATATATAGTGTATATTGTCATTGTTGTTGTATATATTTCCCTATGTTCTTATTTCTTGATCCTATTATATGTTAGATGAATTTTTTCTGTGCTTTTTTACCATGTTTCCACGATTGACTTATTCATAAAACATAATTATACACTCCATTGATTTTTATTGAGAAAAGTTGGGCAAAATGACCCAAAAAAGGGGAAATATTCATTAATTACGTTATTCCATCATAGAATGTGGACATGGGCTATAGTTACGTTGACAA